TATTTTGTTGTAGTTCAGATACTCCTAGGATTGGTTGAGTATCTGACCCTCTCGGTTACCATCCTTTCGGGGATGACACTTGTGAGGGTATTTTGTTGGAACTTAAAAGACCTTACCTTCTCGGTTATCATCCTTTTGGGGATGACGCCTGTGGGGGTAATTTGTTGCAGTTCAAATAATCCCAAAATTGGTTTAGTATCTACAGAAGACTTTACCCTCTCAGCTACCATCCTTTTGGGGATGACGCTTGTGAGGGTATTTTGTTGCTGTTCAGATACTCTAAGGATTGGTTGAGTATCTGCAAAAGACTTTACCTTCTTGGTTACCATCCTTTTAGGGATGACGCCTGTAAGGATATTTTGCAACGTCTTTACCAACGATAGAGCGGGGTGCAACGTCTTCGCCAACGTCGAGCAAGTGCAGTGTCTTTGCCAAGGATTGAACGGGTGCAGCTTCTTTGCCAATGATCGAGCGAGTGCAGCTTCTTTGCCAGCGATCGAGCGAGTGCAACTTCTTCGCCAATGATTGAGCGGGTGCAGTGCCAATGATCAAGATCAAGTGGCTGCAACTTCTTCGTCAACAATCAAGTGAAGACTCTATTTGGGGGATGATGCCTATCATAAAGAGGAAAACCTAATTTGATGGTTTATGCCCCTGGTGATCATCCTTCATTATGTTGTAGAGCTAGCCTTCAATAGGAACACCGTCCCTTGGGAAGATTATACATATGCGTCTTGCAGAGTCATTATGGTGTCGCCATTTTTTTTAAGTTCTTTTTCTTTTTTTTCCTTAAGTTCCCTACGTACCCTTTTAAGGAAAGGGATTAAGTCATAACGTATTTCATTTGCAATTTTTTTTTTTAGTAACTCACCTTTTAAACTCATGTGGGCTAGGAGTACCGTGCAGTTTAGGCTCTTACGAACCTTTTAAATATCATGATTTTGACCATATTTTTCTTTTATTGGATTGGTCGAAATGATGAAACTTTGCTTCACCTTCAGGCAACCTTCAAAGGACGACTTTCTCTTCATATGTGAAGGAACAAG